CGTCATCACATGCTGAACTTAAACACCTGACCAGATTTTGCTGTTGGATATCATTCATCATCGCTTATCATTAATTTTATTTTCAGTACCATTTGTTTCTAAGCGGTCCAAAGGATTTGTCACTTTGGGCTCCCCAGGGTTCCTGGGGCCTCCTCTAAGGCACCTACCACCCTCTACTGCATCCGTGTGGCTTCAGGTCAGTCTCCCACGAGCTGCTGCTCCTGCGAGGCAGGCGGGATCTCACCCCCTGTCCCAGGACCCAGCACAGAGTGTAGCGGCGCACACACTCTGTTAAGACTCGGAATTGTCTGTGGGATGGCAGTCAGGAAGGACACCAGGAGCCTGCAGAGTCTGACAGCTCCTGCCCTCTTGGTCCTCTAAGGCTCCGTTCTGCATCCTGTTCCGGTGGAGGTGGGCCATGCCATGGAAGAGCTATTTCTTGCAAACCGGAAACACCTTTCCTAGGAATTATGAAATTTGTCAGGAGCACTCATTTTTCATTCCAGTAAAGCTATCAGATTAAAACTGATTAGCCATTTGCAAGTTTTCAGTCCATATTCATTTGCTACTCCCTGGGTTTCTTGTGTCTAGGAGCCCTCTTGGCCAGCAAACAAGATTGCAGGGGAAAGGGGGAGAGCAGAGATTTAAGAACAATATAAAAGGAGAAAATTTCACATGGAGCTAATTTTACCCATTAACTTTCTTTTTTCCATGGATTATTGGGAAAGATGGCCAACTTTCCTGGCCCACTCTCAGCCCTTTGCTACTTGAGAAACTCTGCTCCATCCGGAAGTCCTGACTCCTGCCAACCCCAGCGTCCTATTCTTTATCTAAGCGCTGTTTTTCTAAAGTTCAGCCCCAAAGAGAAAGGGGAATGAGGCCATTTCCCTTTTGTTCTATAATGAATGTGGCAGCCTGTGGGGGTCAGTGTGGGAGAGGCACTGTGTGAGCTCTTGGTGTATGTTTTGTCCTTTGATCCTCCTAGCACCGCTAAGAGGTTGGGACTGTCAGGCTGTCCCCTGTCGCAAATGACAACAGAGGGGACACCAGAGGAGGCCATCCCTTGCCTAGGGCATAAGGCCAGGGAGAGTACAGTGGGAACCCAGGCTTCTCTGCCACCAAAGTCTTTGCCCGTGGCACTTTGGCCCATTCAAGATGCAAGGTGGGCCAGGCGCGGTGGCTCATGCCTGTAATCCTAGCACTCTGGGAGGCCGAGGTGGGCGGATTGCTTGAGCTCAGGAGTTTGAGATCAGCCTGAGCAAGAGCGAGACCCCGGGGAGACCACCGCGCGGTGGCTCATGCCTGTAATCCTAGCACTCTGGGAGGCCGAGGTGGGCGGATTGCTTGAGCTCAGGAGTTGGAGACCAGCCTGAGCAAGAGCAAGACCCCATCTCTGCTAAAAATAGAAAAATTAGCCAGGCATCTTGGTGGGTGCCTGAAGTCCCAGCTACTCAGGAGACTGAGGCAGGAGGATTGCTTGAACCCAGGAATGGGAGGTTGCAGTGAGCTATGATGACACCACTGCACCCTACCTGGGACGACAGAGCAAGACTCTCTCAAAAAAAAAGAAAGAAAGAAAAGAAAAGATGCAAGTTGACCAACACCATGGCCAATACCATGGACCCTGGGGCTTCCAGTGTATTGCCTGGGCCTGCTGCTGGGGACTGGAGGGACATAGGGGTGATAACACTCACCCCTCCCCTCACCCCCAGGCTGAGCCATTCATTCCTGACAACACTGCCGAGACTCCTGTCTACTATCTCTTAGATTAGCCCACAGCTATTTTTATTCTGCCCTTGCCTAGGGAAGAAACACAGCTTGGGCACACCCTCTGGCAGGGCCCCCGGGGAGACCACCGTTAGCCAAGGAAAAAAGCAGAACTTCTTTTACTATCTTTTTAATAATATATTATCTTTTTTCCTTAGAAGCATCTCCAAATTGAGTCACCCTGCGACGCCGCCTCCAGAGGGGCATTTTGGGGGATCTAAATGCACCAACACAATGAATGGACACCTTCTTTTCAGAACAGCGTTGGCATGAATCTGTTGAAATAAAGTGAAGTCTCATCTCCTGGTTTGGTGGGAAGGAGGTTTCAAGGTTATGGGCTTGGAGAAGGGAAAGGGGACCCAGGAGGCAGAAAATGCGAAGTGTGCATGGGAAGCCCAGAAGCCCGGAGAAGGGCCAGGCTGTGGGGTGGGCGGGCGTGACCAGGGCCACGTGGAGGCTGAGGAACCTCGGAGACATGGGAACGGAGGCGATGAGGGTCCGAGCTCACCCGGGAAGTCTGCACTGCAACACGGCTCCGGGACACGGGGATCGTCCCCAGATGCGGAAGCTGCGGGCCAGGGTCGACCTGGCCTCTAAGGGAATACGCGGCGGGAGCGGGGGAACGGGAGCTGGCCGGCGTTACGGCTGATAGCTGGGAACCGAGAAGAGTGGGGAGTCGCTAGACCAGAGGGGAACCCAGAATGTGTGGTGCCACCGAGCCAGGGAGGTTTCTGGAAGAATCGGTGTCCAACAGCGCCAACAACTGCTGCGAGGTGAGGTAAGCGGGAGGGAAGACGTCCTCCACGTCGGCAGCCTGAGGTAACTGAGACCGTCCACCCTGCCCCGCCGCACTGGCTTCCTTGCATTCCTTGAACATGCCAGTCTGCCTCCGTCTCGGACCTCTGCCCTCGCTGCTCTGTGTGCAGTCCTCTTCCTCAGCTGTCCGCACGGCTCCTGTCCCCTGCTCCAGTCTTCCCCTGGTGGGACCGGCCCTGACCAACCTGCTGAAGACTGCAGACTTCCCCACTCCTACACCCAGACCTCCATTAATCTGCTCCACTCTCCCCAAACCACTGATTTTCTAACATAACGAACGACTTACTTAGTATGTTAATTGTCTATCATCTGCCACCCTCCCCCAAATACCATAAGCTCCATGGTGACAGGGAATCTTTGTTTTGTTCACTGTGTCTAACACAAGTGCTTGGCACAGAGTAGGTGCTCAGTAAATACTTTTTTTTTTGGTGGAGACGGGGTTTAATCATATAGTTCAGGTTGGTCTCGAACTCCTCGCCTCAAGAGATCCTCCCACTTTGACTTCCCAAAGTGCTAGGAGTAAATATTTCTTGAATGAAAGACCTCTTGATGGCTGCTCTATACGTACAATTCCTTGACTGTCAGCTCATGAAAATGTGGCATATGAGCCTGACTTACTAAGAGTGAAAATTAAGGCCACTTATGAAACATATTTCACAAACAACACATAGGTGAGCTTCATACATTTATGTGTTTTAAAAATTTGATATTTTTAAAAAATTTGATACCTATTTTTTAAAAAATATAGTCCTGCGAGCATTTCCAGTGGACTGGTGGAAATAACCATACCCAAGCAAGACTGCAGAGCGAATGCGGACACTGCCCCCTCACGGCGGAACGTGGCGGGGCTCTCTGCACAGCCGGCCTGGCTGGGAAGACAACCCCCGGGGCTGGAGGGGGTTGCAAGATACTATGTTATCAAAGACATTTCAAAATGGGTCAGATTTGACTTTATTTTAAGCAGGAGGCAAGTAAAAGAGGAATGAAGTGTCAAAGAGAGCATTTTTAGGGAGTACAAAGCCCCTGAGTTTCCATATTTCGAGGAGGATGTTGACAATTAGCGGGAAGTAGTAAAGAAAAATGTTAAGACAAGAAAATCCTCACGTGACAACATCCATCTGCTGCACGTACAGCTGGAATCTGAGTGGGAATTTCCCATCTGTGCCTTAGTCTCAGCTTTAATTTGACTATAAATAAGACACATGTGCACACAATTTGCACTTGAGTGTCTTTTTTGGGGCCAAGAATTGTTTAAGGATGATATATGGCTAGAAATTGCGTGCGTGTGTGTGTGTGTGTGTGTGTGTGTGTGTGTGTGTGTGTGCGCGCGCGCACTAACTTGCACTACTCAGTAGGCTAGTCTGAGGGTTGCGGCCAGTCTGTTATACTTGGTCCCGCGATGATCTGTCACTTCGTAACTCAGTCCCTCTTGACACCCTCTGCTCAGGCAGGTCTAGACAGAGCTGCCATGCCTGGCCAGCTTTTCCTGAGGCCCTCTGGCTGTTTGCTGCAGGAAATCTCAGGGCCCAGGGCCCTGGGGGTGGCAGCATTTGGGAAGGCCTTGGCAGGCCATCATAAGGAACTACACTTGCTACTTTATAATCTCTTTTGATTCTCAAGTTGACTCTAGGAGGATCTCTATGGACTATCACCTCCACTTTACAGATGTGGAAAGTGAGACATAGTGACATAAGGTAACTTGCCCATGGTCACATGCTCCATTAGTAGTAGAGCCAAGACTCAAAACCAAGTGTTTGAGCCAAGGTTCAAAGTCCACATTCTTTTTACTTTCCCTTCTGCCTCCACAATGCCCCTCCCAGGTCCTCAGGGGTTATAAATAGTGGGGGAGGTGGGGTTTCAAGCTCCAGGGCAGCCAGGCCTTAGTGCAAGAAGACACTAACACCTCCAGGGCCCGACTAGCTGGGCCCTGGTCCCCTGTCTTTGATGGAACTCAGGCCCACATGGGCCTCAGCTTCTCTCGCCTTGGTTATACTCGGCTCTGGACCTCAAAGAGAAGGCTCAGCCAGCCCGAGTCATGACACACCCCAGGCCTGGCCGGGCTGCGGTGCAGAGGAGAAAGACGTCAGCTCAGCCTCTTCAGATGCTGGTGTGCACCACTCCCAAAGGGGGCTGCTTGCACTCTCCTTCCTAATAGTCCGTGAGATCTTATTTCTGTTGCTCCCTGAGAAAGGAACCATGTCTGGTTTTGCCAATGTACTTGTAATGCTCAGCAGTGTCTGTAACACCCTGTGTGTGGCAGCTGCTTCATAATTCTTTGTTGAGTAAATGACTAAATAATCAAGTTCAGGTCCTAGAAATCTGGACAAGAGGCACAAACATTCCCAGAGAGATACCTTATAAAACCAAATGTATTTTATTCTATTAAATACAATCAAGTTTATTCAAGGAATGGCTGTGAGTTTTCATCATCCTTCTTCCCACCTCTTCTCTCTTCCCTCCACCAGATCTGGCGTTTAGGGCTCAGTGGGACAGGGAGAGAGGATCACATCCTGGCTGCTGGGCTCTGAGTGCTCCACCCGGCAGCACCCACAGTGCTCAGGGACCCCTGTGTCCTGATGGTGTCACAGGGACAGGCCTGCCCCTGTTGCTTGGCTCGCTCCCTACAAGCCACTTGCAGAGCACCGGGCAGCTGCGTTTCCGCCTGACCTGCTGAGCAACGGGAGCAAACGCGGCTGTGGCTCGGCCTGGCAGCCTGGGCTGGCGCTCAGGACCCTGACACAGGAGCTGGAAGAGCCAAAGCTGGCAGCTTTGAGGTCTCACAAAAAAGGAAAGAGCCGCTTTTTCACGATGTAGAGGACCGTAGCGAGAAACAAGGCCAGAGCAAGGAAGATGAGAAGCTTGTCCGTCAGCTCCCGGCGATTGTATTTTGTGATGAGCTTCCGGCCCAGCTGGATGGTCCCAGACATGGACTTAAATTCTTCATTTGCGTCCAGGATTGTTCGTGAAGAATTGACTGAAACAAAAGAGGGAGGGGCCTGACTCAGACTGCGCAGTACAAAAGCCAGAGACCTCGCTGTGCAGGCCAGGTTGCCAATAACAGCCTGCGTTCTGAGCAAGCGCGCCCAAGCCAGGACCCAGCACGTGAATGGAGACCATCTAGAGGGCAGAGAGGACGAGCAACCGCCAAGGAGAGGCTCCCAGGTCCAGCCAGCTCCGGGGTGAGGTGGATTGTCTGGAGTCCTCAATCACGGATGTCGCTAGGGACAAGGCTCGGCTCTCTGAAGCAGACAGGTGCTGCCACAAAACAACCCGGCCATCACAGGCAGGCCCTGTGAGGCCTGTGCTGGGGTGGCAGCCAGGGGGCGCCAGCGCTTCCCACCTGGGAGGTGCGGCCCGCCAGACGTCAGCCAGTCAGTCCTGCTCTCTGCGGGAGCACAGAAGGACAGGGTGGGCCAGGCCCTGCCACAGCCCTCACACATACCTGTCCTTCAGTCCTTCAGGCTTGGGACACAGGCTGTAGCTTCAAAGATGTGACACGTGTCTGACACGCTGTGTGACACCTAAGGAAGGGCCCATGTCCCTTAAGGGATCATTGTGCCCAGGGTCAAACATATTTGTGAGTATAGGTTTCTGGGCCTGATACTTGGGGTAGGTTGACCCGGCAAACGTCCCCTACAAAGCATAATAAGGTATCATCAGAACATGCATCGAATAAGATATGTTAAGTGAAAAGGCAAAGTATAAAAGAGCACATGTGAAATGTTTCCACTTATGTAAGAAAGAGGGAGATAAATAATCCTCCACCTGCTTATGCTATATGAGCTTGGAGGATCTCAGAAGATATAAAAGAAATAGGTAACAGTGGTCGCCTCTGGGAGTGGACCCAGAGGGTCAGCGGTCAGGTGGAAGCAGAACAGAGGGTTGTCTTTCCCGTGTCCCTTATGTACTGCCCAGAGCTGTCCTGGCCAATAATGCCATGTGGCTCGTGAGCATGTAAAATGTGGTTAATCCAAATGGAGATGTCTGTGAGTATAAAATACATGCAAGATTTCAAAGACTTAATATGGGGAGAGAAAGGAACGTCAGACATCCCAATAATTTTTAATGTTAATTGCATGTTGAAATTACAACATTTTACACAATGGCCCAATGGGTTAAACAAAATACATTAGTAAAATTAATTTATGTTTCTTTTTACTCTTTTTAATGTGCCTACTAGAAAAGTGACACACGGGGCTGCCATTGTGTTTCCACTGGGCAGCACTAGGCTGGAGGTTTCTTCCTTACCTGTGTTATATGTGCTACCTCTTCATGAAATTAAACGCTAGTAAGCAAATGAAATAAATTACCGGAGGAAACGCAGCGATACAAATGACAGACAAAACAGGAAAAACAAACATTCACAGAACAAGACGCCTCTCGGCCCTCTTGCTCCACGCCTGCTGCCATTTCAAAACCCGAAGTAAGTAAGAACTTGTTAAGTAAAAACCTAACAGACCTTTCTTTCTAAACTTCATTACTATGAAGAATTTTGAACCATCACAGAAGCAGCCAGCACAGCATCAGGAGATGCCACGTGCCCATCGCCTGTCCCTAAGAACCGCCAACCCCGTCACCGTGGCCCCCACCACACGCACCTCCCCCCACTCCTACGATCTTGCAGCCAAGTCCAGGTGTCATATCCCTAATAAGCTTTTTCTTTTGGACGGCAGTCCTAATAGGCCTTTAAATCCAGCTGAATTTGTGAGGCTTAAGGAAAGGATTACGAACTACACTTTCCCCTTTCTTCAATAGCTATTTCTTCTAAAACTGGGGGCCCCTTAACACCCCAGAAAGCACCAGCATTTGTGTTTCCTTCTCATCGCTGGAGAGGGGCGTCCTGTCACCCACATGAGAGCACTCAAAGGCCATGTTGTCTCGTTCTCACTCCCTCCAAGGCCACCCCGAGGCCCAGCCCGTGCCCAGGTGCACACTGGGAGGAGGCGGCTGGCTGGTTCTGGGCCTGAAAGCTCAGATAAGTTGCAGACACAAGGCATGGCTGTGGGGTTACTTGCTTGCTTTCCTTTGCCTCTGGCTGTTTGAGTGGTACACTGAGAAAAAAAAGTGGTTCAAAATTACAGATAATTGCTAGGGGTGATAATGGTATTATGGTTATGGGGTTGCTTTTGTTTTTTTCCCAAAGAGTCTCCCTTATCTTTTAGAGAGACCAACTGAGATATTTATGGATGATGTCTGGGATTTGCTTCAAAATAATCCAGATGGGGGAAAGGGGTGGGGGTAGAACTGAAACTCACTCACTGGCCGTGAGCTGCTAGTGCTGAAGTGGGCGACAGGTTCAGGGGATCCATGACACCGTGCTCGCTACTTTGTCTATGTGTGAAATTTTCCAAAAGCGTTTCAAGGAGTAAACGCTGTTTGCCTACATGGAAGGGCCCTGGAGAAGGCCGCTTCTTCTCTTCTGTGTCACGAGGCAGATGCTCTCAGTCTCTTCTGTAGCTCCCGACTGGGATCTTTTAAAAGGAACTCAGAGGAAAAATAACGACTGGGGGTATGATTGTAAACTGAGGTCCTAGCAGTCTTACCAGCAGCCGACACTAAACTGCTCTTGGGACGACAATTCCCAAACCTGCCTGGCCGTACTGGGGCCCCAGAGCCCTCACTGAACGTCAGAATCCCAGGCCCTTGCCCAGCCCTGCCGACGCCCTCTCTCCAGGAGACACCTGAGCCCCTGGGAATGCGTCCAATGGGGAAACACTGACAGGCTGTGTTTCTAGTACAATTTCTAGTACAACTATAATAAAAGAAAAACAAGAGCAGCACATTTCCACTCTGGGTAAGACCCAGCTGTCGAGTCGTGTCATGAGTGAGAAGCCAGAGTCAGTGAGCTTTGGGCGGGCAGCAGTCGGGGGCACCCAGGGTGGAGGGGCCCGGCAAGGGCTCTGGAGCCAGTGCCTCTGGGAGAGCTTCCTACTCCAGGCCTGGCTTTACCTAGAGTCTGCATGGCCTCCTCGCTCTGCTGGACCTGCTGGGACATCATCCTGCTGATCCCCATGAGGCTCTCTGTGATGGCGCTGGACGTCTGGGCCAAGCTTTCTTTGGTGGTTTTCCTAAAAGTCCAGAGGAGGGGGAGGAGGAATGTCAACAAAAGCCTCGCTGCAAGGAGGCCCCATGTTCAAACGAGAGCCCATTTTTTACCTATCAAAGTGGTATAGATATTTTAAATGATCACAGTCAATGCTGTTAATGGCAAGGGTGTGCCGAGACCCACACTCTTGCAGCTGCTAGTAGGAACGTAAACTAATGCTGCCTTCTGTAAAGCAATTTGCCAATATGGATCAGGAGCCTTAGAAATGTTCATTCCTTTGACCCAATAATCTCATCCCTGGGAATCTTTCCAAAGGAAATATCCAAAATGTGGATAAAACCTTATGTTCTAAGATATGCCCTGGTGCATTATTAACAATACTGGAAAACTAGAAATGTAAACACACAGGTGATTGTACTAACATACGATCAACATACTATGTACTGTTTAAATTGGGTTTAAAAAATAGGCAAGCTTTGCGCTGGAAGAGTAGAATACTAAATTTTATATATGGTATGATTTTGACTTTGTGAAAAATACGGAAGAAGAAAAATCAAGGAGGCAATATGCCAAAATGCTCACGAGTAATAATACTACAGCTTATTTTCATTTTGTAATTCATACTTTATTTTACCAATTTACTACAAATAAATATGCATTTCTTTCAAACTTCAAAAAAAAAATTATTTAGATAATAAAATTAAATACCAAACTGAAAACAAGTGGAGGTTTCCTGCAGTGCGTTTTACATCTTGCCAATTGTTATCTGTTCTATTATCAGAGCCCAGAAAGACAAAAGAACAGGTACCTTTGCCTTAAGAGCTCTCCTCCCTGGAGAAGTTCTGCTTTCTCTAGATTGTCGATTGCAATTTTGCAAGTGAGATTAGCTTTCCTCCATGAGGTCTGATTGCTGGAATCAGAAGGGTCATGTGTAAGTTTCTGTCGACTCCCCCAGTTCCTTAGTTCAAATCACTGCAGTTCCTTCCAGCAAAGGAGCAATAGGGAAGGTCCCCCAAGATGTAGCCCTCAGACTCCACCCCACCTCTGCCACTTCCTCCTCTTGGTGCCCCAGCAACTGCCCTCACTCAGCCCTGACACCTCTCAGCTGGACCCTGGAGGCCACCTCGGGATGCTCTGTGGCTGTCCCTCTCCCCTCACGGCCACTCCCTGTGCACAGCCCCACAAGGGCTCCAGACTTAAGGGTAGCATCCAGACTTCCCAGCTGGGCACACATGTCCTGGCTGGTGCTATTCCTTAAGAACTGTGACCACTCATCTCTGTATCTACAGTACCTACAACATCGTTTCTGGCCTCTCAGCTGCTCAATTACTATATGTGGTAGGAAGTAAAGAAGATCACAAAAAGCCAATTTTTCTCAATATTTCTTCAAAGTTTGCTGTTTGCATACCACAGACCAGTCATGACCACCACAAATATATTGTATTGGCAGGGCCCTAACTGACATGGTTTATTTATACTCTTTACCTAAGCTCCCTTGTGAGCGACAACTGAAATGTAATAGCTCCCTGGGTTTAGCGATGCAGCCTTTGTCAATAAATTATAAAAAAGCTAACTGCATCCCTCTGAGAATCATACCCGTGTTCCAGAACTCTTATGCAGCCGGCTTAAACCAATCGTGCTAATCCCTGGAAATACGCTAAAATTAGAACACAGTACATGAGCTGACAGGGTGGTCTTCTAACAGCACCTTTACGCTGAAGGTCTTCTAACAGCACCTTTACGCTGAAGGTCTTCAAATGGGCTCTCTGATGCCTAAACAGCATCTGCTCTGCCATTTCACACTTGCCATTCTGCAAGAATCAGTTACATTTTCAAATTGTTTGCAAGGGAGTTCTGTGGGGCCCTGGGATGCAGGGATGAAGGAGCGGCAGTGTCTGCCCTCACGTTTACTGGGGAGAAAGACAAGCAAACAGATGCTTCGTGTATGGTGTGACAAGCACGATGACCCAGGCAAGCACAACACAGTTGCCAAAGTACTAATTTCTCTCCTCTGCCCGTAGCTCCCACTTCATGGATGGCCATTCCCAGCTCGAAACCCGTGCTCAGCTGAGTGTGTCTTTATGACTTACCGTGCCTTATAACAAGGGCTCCTCTCTACTCAGTGTTTATAATCCGAGTATGCTTGGTGGCTCAGGAAAGCAAAAGCCATCATAACACAAAGTAATCACTAAAGAGCCAGGCACTGGAACACCGCCTGCCACTCACACGGCCTCCCTCCTGACACTGGGCTCACCGGGCCGTGTCTCTGCCACATAGCGGCTGTCAGGGAGGATGGTGCTGAGGAAATGCTCACAAGCACAACAGACAAATACAGGTCTGGCTGAGGCGGACCAATGAACAGGGGCAAAGGGAAAACTGTGGGGATGACGAAAATGATGAAGAGAATGATCTGGACTCCAGACGACCGGGAAAGCCGATGGAGCCCTCAAATATATTTGGAACAACAACTCTCTTTATAATTAGGTGCAAAAGTCAAATGTGACAGGAAAGATACTATTTCATGTTGTAAGGCAATTCTGTTAGAAAAGTTGTACCTCTCCCAATTCAATATCAAGAAATGGCATAACTTCAATTAGACACTTTAAAAAAAAAGAAATGGCACATAGCTGCAGTTATATAATCAAGGATTATCACACAGCTGCAATTATAACCTCAATTTTGTTTAACGTAACATACACTTATTTACATTTTTTTGTTTCATTTTTTCAGATAACATCCCATTCGAAACCTTTTAAATTTTGGTCCAACTTAAGTAGTTTCTCTTTCAGTGGACTTTTTCTGGTAGTAATTGTTCTTAGATAAAAACAACCCTGCATTACAAAAGCAATCACATTTTTTGTTTTGTTTTAAAACTATAAAATACAGCACAATGTTAAATATGCTTCTGTAAACTATGCACAGCTCCACCTGCCCACAGGGGCCCTGTTTCTCCCTCCCCCACCCGCCCCAATTTAAGAATTACCGATCTAGAGAAAACATTCTGCCTGTGTGTAAATGATATAATTATGTCCCCATTAAGCAGGTTTATTAGGCAAACACATGCACAGGCCTCACAGGGAACAAGTGACCCGGCAGAGGCCACTGGCAGGAGGCCAGGCCCTGCCTACCTGAGCATCTGCTTTTTGTGATTCTCCACTTCCTGGAGTAGAAGTTGCTTCTCTGACTCTTTGTCTTGCTCTTTAGCCGACTGCTCAAGCTCCTGTGCAGAAAGATAGCTCCATGTTAAAATGATTTTAAACACCAATATGAAAACAGAAGAGCACTTCTATTTCTGGCAGAGGCGTACAATAGCCCTTGAAGCACCCTTTGAGAACAGAACACCTAGGAATGCTAGGTAACATATAACACACATCCTCTTAAATATATAGCTACGTCTGCAACAAAGAAGAATCCCTAGGGCACAAAAGCGAGAGAGGAACTGGGAGCCGGAGCAGTCAGCCTATGAGTGAGGCACGGCTGCCCTGGAGTAGGAGTTGCTGCTCTTATAACCCAGGGCATGCCGGAAAAGAAAAGAAAAAAAAATGACAAAATACTAGCCCATTGATCCCACACTTAGATATCATGGGACTACCAAACTGCTGTATGGGGAGGGGGGAGATATATTCACACCTAATGGGTGCGGTGTGCACCGTCTGGGGGATGGACATGCTTGAAGCTCGGACTCGGGTGGGGCAAAGGCAATATATGTAACCTAAACATTTGTACCCCCGTAATATGCTGAAATAAAAAAAATAAATAAAATAAAATAAACAAAAAACCCTGCTGTATGTTTCCACATACTCACTCTCAACTTCATTAGCAACAAGGTTTGAGAGACCATGTAGGAACAGAAAAATGAAGCCTCAGGCCATCTGAGGCTGAGCCCCAAAACTGGAACTAAGAACACCACAAATCCAGGACTCAAAAAAACGTTATACCCTTAGGGAAAAGGTCTAGGAAACTGTCCATCCACCAGCAGAGTGAAAATATGGACACTTACATTTCTGCTGTAGGCTCTGGATAAGAGGGGTTAAAAAAAGAAATCTCCCCTGAGAATTTATAACCAGGGAGTTGCCCACACACTGATGTGGGGTTCAATTTATCTTCTCTGAGTCGCTCAAGAACCTCCATGAAGAGAAATTGACATAAATAGTGTTCTCAGGCTAGTGATCATCCCAGGAGACCTGGCAGAAAGCAGAGACCTCTGAGAGCCTCGTCCTCCACCCAGGCTGCACAAAGTCCCACAGTAAGGTCTGCTGAAGATGAGTGCTCACAGTCCAAAATAACCAAACACCAAGGAAACGGTCCACCTCGAGTGAGGGTCGGCAGACATAACCAGTAGTATTAAACCTCCAAGAACTTCAGATAATGGAATTATCAGATAGACTATAATAAAGATAGTTTTGTTTACAAAAAAACGTCAAGTCTCACATCATATTTTTTTGTTTACAAATTAAAACAGGTTCCAGCTCCAATCAAGCTATTGATCTAAAACATCACTGTATTAGCTCATTTAGATACTAATTTATTTACTTATATATTATTTGTACATACTGGTCTGGAACAAATGTGTATATCTACCATTTCAATAGCTCAGAGATGACTTTCCATTTATGCCCCTAAATGTTGCTGAGGTAGAAGGGAAAAAAATAATTAACTGTGAATTGGGAAACTTTTGCAAATGTAATCAGTTAATTATTCACATAATTATTCACTTAAAATCTATATTGCCTATTAGAATGAAAACTGTATGAATAAGCAGAGCTATATGCAGTGCTATTCACTATGGATATGCCTTGTGCCTGGCACATACTAGGCACAGAATCACTGAAAGGAAGAATGGATGCATGGGAAGAAGGGAGTGAGGAATGAAGGAGAATGTACAATTTCCTCATGAAAGGTTGCCTGGAAGTTCTGTCGCAGAGAGCCAGTGATAGTTCTGGAGAGAAGAAAGGGGATCGAACAGTTCTAAAACTCCACTTTGAGAATCGTATATGCAAAGACAGACACACAGATACTTACACATAGTCAATGCCAAACATTTACTATGTGTAGAATACCATATTTTGAGGATGAGGCCAATTCTCTTCTAGTATCACATGATCTTGTTACCAACACACAAAAATATATTGATATAAAAGTTAAAAACATCAAACATAGAAATCTTGTATTTATCTCCAGGTATAAAAAGAGTATATAAATACTTATGAAATACAGATTAAAACAGGGATGGGGTTATCCTTTTGCTGACCATGTGCTTATTAGGTCCTTACTAACTGGTGATATCCTGGCTGAAGGTGGTGACATTATTGGGGATGTGGGGGCAAAATAATAAATGTGTAAATGTACTGGTGAGTTAATTTTAATTAGTGAAGGAAATAAACACTGGGTGAGCACCCAGATACTTAAACAAAAGAAGAGAGAAACACTCATACTGAAGGCGGTGGGTGTAGTTGGAGAGCTGAAGTCATGCTAAGTTGAAGAAAGGTCTTTTAGGGAATAAGTTAGGTTTAAAAAGCAAAAAACTGTGGGAGCAGTCCAAATAAATGCCCTTTGATAGAGAACTGGCTAAAAAAAAATTACAGCTATTTAAAAAAGAATGAGGAAGGTCTCTAATTACTGATATGGAAAGATTTCCAATATATACTGTTAAGTTTTAAAAAGTTGTGCTTCAGGCCAGGCGCAGTGGCTCACACCTATAATCCTAGCACTCTGGGAGGCTGAGGCAGGAGGATCACTTTGAGGCCAGGAGTTCAAGACCAGCCTGAGCAAGAGTGAGAACCCATCTCTACAAAAAATAGAAAAAATTAGCCAGGTGTGGTGGTGCACATCTGTGGTACCAGCTACTTGGGAGACTGAGGTGGGAGGATGGCTTGAGCCCAGGAGTTTGAGGTTGCAGTGAGTTATGATGATGCCACTGCACTCTAGCCCAGGTAACAGAGCAAGACTCTGTCTCAAAAAAAAAAAAAGCCTTGTTTTAGTATGCTACCTTTTAGATGAGAATTGGGGAAGAAATAAGAAAATATATTTGTCTTTTAAAATATCTGAGTAGAGAAACTCTGGAAAGATACATAAGTAACAAAAGTGGTTACCTGTTTGGAAGAGGGTAACAGAGAACAAAAAAGAGACATAACTGAGACTTCACTTTATGTCTATATTTATATATACATACACATTTATAAAACATGTAAAAGTAACATCCTTTCAAAAATGAAAAGTTGAAATGATTAAATCAGTGCTGGAGATGGAGGCCGAAAGAGATCAGCTAGGTATGGTGACATTGCTGAAAGTCTATAGTTAACTCCTATAGCAAAAACTGCACATTTTCAACATTGCCCTTGAAAATCCCTTAGGAAGGCAACACACAGGACACAGACAGACTGTTTCACAGGTGTCCAGCTGGCCAGCTTTTCTGCCAGCTTTGAAACAGACTGTCTTCTTCTGTTAAGCAACAATAGAGTTGTTGGCCAGCTTTTGAAGTCATGTTATATGAAAAGCACAAGTCTTTAAACCCAAGTACCATATGCAATGAGACCAGGCACCACAAGACCCATCCAGGGATGGGCAGATTCATGACATCCATCTCACCTTCACTGAAGGCACAGCAGTAGAAACACCTCTGCTATTCAAACTGCTACTTCTCATTCTCTAGTGTTTGGGGTTTTTTTGGTTTGTTTTTTTTTTTAAGAGACATGGTCTCGTTTTGTTACCTAGGCTGCAGTGCAGTGGCCTGATCATAGCTCACTGTAGCCTCGAACACCTGGGCTCAAGTGATCTTCCCACCTCAGCCTCTGGAGTAGCTGGAGCTACTGGCATGTGCCACCATGCCCAGCTAACTTTTAAAATCTTTTCAGAGACAGCTATGCTGCTCAGGCTGTCTCAAATTCCTGGGCTCAAGCAATCCTCCCCTGTCTGTCTCCTGAGTTACTAGGATTACAGGTGTGAACCACTGTGCCTGGCTCTCTAGTGTTTTTTGAGATGGCACGCATACCACAGTTGAATTCAGGTGTATTAAACGTGCACGTGATGTGACTCGTGACTACAGAAACAGAAAGGAAGATGCTGGGCAAAGTGACAGCATGGAAAAAACCCGGGAGACACTGGTGATGGATTGTGGTGAAAATGAGTGAATGGGTTAGAGAGGGTAGCAGAGAAGAGAAAGCAGTTGAAGTGGCCTCAGGATTTCAAATATTCCAAGGATATGGCTGGCCCTAGTGCAGTGGTGTTTACAACTAATTGATCACAACCAGTTACAGATTCCTTTGTTTCTTCTCCACTCCCACTGCTTCACTCGACTAGCCTTAAAAAAAAAAATCGCAAGGATAATGGTGTTCCTGCCATCCACTTGTAGGCACAACTGACAGTGTTCTGTATTCAAAAGTTTCTCATCGTTACCTGATAAACAGGTTAGTACAGAGTCACCCTCGCTGTCTAAAAATGTTTGCTACTCCCTCCAGCTGGTATCTGAAAAAACTGGACACCTCTAAAAGCAGAGGCTATAACCAGGACTGAGCCCCGTTCACTCTTACCCATTCTCAGCATCTCGGTTCTGGGAATACCCACCTGTATTCTGTAACGTAACTGTTGAAATTTCTCTTTCACTTTAGTATTCAGTTCGGTAAGTGCACTTAAAGGTCCCGAACAATCACGAATATCCTAGGAGACATTGAAGAGATGAGAAGCCTTTCTTGAGGCAATGAAATGAAATGACATCATGTGTACAGTCAGACTGGCCTACTGATTGTAACTCATCCTGATCTTTGCTGTTCACCTCTGCAACACAAGCAAAACCATTATCATTTACATTTTTCTCATGCCTCTTTAATGTTAAGCAGCTAATATAAAATCATAGAAAGAAACACAGCCCTGCCTTGATCTACCTTTTAGTTCCTAAATTTTAACAATACACAGCATCTGGCCAGTGTGAAAAGCTTAAAACAGCTTGTATGTCCAAGAAGAATGAACATGCAAAAGTGATACTATAACTTCAGAACTTTAGATCCTTTAGATCTAACATTTGATACTTAAATACCTGGCATCAAATGACAAGATTAACTTCTTCAGTCTGATTTCACAAACCATCAGTTATAAATCAGAGTGTTTACAGAAATGTTTAAGGGTAGATTTACAATTTGTTGCTGCACATTCAGAATTATTGGTGCTGAACAGGCTCTGGAGCCAGACTATGTGGATTCAAATCCTGGCTATAGGAACTTACTAGCTGTGTAACCTCTTGAAAAAATTGCTTAAGTTCTCTGTGCCTCAGTTTCCTTATCATATTACCTACCTCATAGATCATACATGTATGTAAAGCACTTAGCAGAGCAGCTACAACACAGTTAGAATGCAATATATCTAGTTATAATCAATCTTTCTCATCAGCAATCACAACAACCCAATTGTTAGAAAAAGTACAAAAGGGGGCCTAAGCAATTTAGATTATGTGAAAAGGTAATTTCATTTATATGAATCCTAGGTTTATTTTTCTAGAATTGCCCTAGAATCTCTGTAGTTTACGTGTTGGAGAAGTGAAGTTCAAGAAGTTTAAATGTTTGTATCAAGTTTCTTTGCTTGTTCTCTGGCTTACTCATTAAACCACATTTCTTTGTATATGATAAACCACTAATTTGGTTTATTCTGCACCTGGTTTATCTGGGAAGCCCTACTTTCCTTTACTTTTTGGCATACTTTGTTACAAACTCTGAGTCTACATCTAACGTTTAGTGACCTCTGTTGGGAATGGAAACGATTTGCTTTAAAAAAAAAATCAGGGTTTAAAACTCTTGGTTTCTTTTTGCTAAACTCATGGAACCATTTATACATTCTTAACAATCGTATAGGCAAACTGATTTATTGCACTTCTGCCCTTAAATAGCTTAAGGCAAAGCACCTCACTTTCCCTGTCAGATGAAAGGAACAGAGACTCTCTAAGGTGCTTTTCCTGGACAGAGTTTCCCAGTCCGGGTCCTGGTTTTGCCACTGCCTGCCTTCTGACTTTGGCCTTGGTGCTTTACTCGATGACCTCATGTACAATAACACAACTACGCTCTAGGTTACGTTCACTTCACCCGATGCCTCCCGTGCCAGGTGGCTTTGGGTGCCACGGGGCACCAAACCAAGCGGAGCTGTGCGGCAGGCGGCAGGGTTCATGGCCTCTGGGACGCTACCAGGTGATGGGGAAGGAGCTGTCAGAAGGCGGGGCCAAGTAGGATGACAGGTAGGTCGTGAGGTGGTTCAGGGGTGGGACGACGGCCAGGGTGTGGGTGGGAGGGACAAAGCGGGGCCACAAATGGGGGCCACGAAGGGGTGGCCGGGTTAGGGGCGTTGGACAGCAGGGTGCTCTAGAGAGGGGCACCCAGAGGGAGGATCAAAGCTAGCAGTCACGGGGACAGGACCAAATGGGGACAAGAGCGTAAATGGTTATGGGGCGGGAACAACGGCCTGGGAGACCAAGTGGGGAAAGTTCAGGAGTGAGACCGCCCAGCTCACAGGCCAGCGGAGCTTGGGTTAGGGCTGCTGGAGCCCGGCAGGGGTCCCGGGAATCATTACCTGGATAAGCGCCTTCACCTCCAGGTCGAATTTGACAATCTCTTGGTTACAGATCCGGACGTGGACATCTTGGGGAGCCGCCATGTTGGAGACGCCGGCTACGGGGAGCGGCGGGGCCCAAATTAAAACGCATTTTCGCACCGCCTTCTTTTCGTCCCCGCCCCGTCTCGGGCCAGCGCCCCCTAGAGACCGGTGTAAATGGCAAGCGAGAGTCACTGCGCCGAGTTGTGGGGACTTTCCCTGACACGTGGCGGGAAATCAGCCTCTCCTCTTGGTTTGGTCCTGATAAAACGGAAAGGAAAAGAAGAGGGAGTATCAAGAACGCTTAACAGTGGTCTCTTTCCATCTTCCGCCTATCCGTGATTCTAATGACTACATATTTTTTGGATAGAAAAAAAAGACTGGAAGAAAAGTATCAATTGGGAAGTCTCTGGAAGGTGCAATCAACACTTATTTATGTTTCTTTAAACTCTCTTGTATTTTTTATATTTTCTACAGTGAATATAAATTGTGGAGAAATAAAAGAGAAAATGATAAACTTTTTTGTTGTTGCTAATGTATGAAATTCAAGACAGGTCACTAGGGCACCTCCTATCGGTCCAACGCATGGTCCAAGGGATCTTTCTAAAACACAGAATTGATCAAGTCACCACCCTACATACATCTGTTCTATGGCTCCTGGCAGCTCCCTTTTGTGTACAAAATGGATTTGTGAAATCTACCTCACTGGGGTAGTATTGATGGATTTGTATAGTTTTTATGGAAATGTCCGAGCAAACCTTCAATAAGTGGTGGCTCTTTCATTTTATTTTTATTAGTAAATAGTCCAAGTTTCTTGGCTTGTCCTCAAGGCCATCAGCCAGCCCACGCCAACCTGCCCCCTTCCTGGGTTCCTTAAGCTCTTTCCAGCTGTGTAGCCTTGGAATGTGGTGTTGCCTCTTCCTAGAATGCTTTCCCCACGCACGCCTACGCCATCTGCATTTGTTCAGGTCACTTCAAGCATAGATCGTGAGGACCTGAATGCCTAGCTATAGCTATGTTCATCTCTCTTAATCCTCACAACCACCCTTGAAATTGGTACTAACCTAGTTTTACATATCAGGAGATAGGCCGAAAGTAGATTAAAACCAAACAAAACAAACAACCCTGCTCCAAAGTTACCCAACTTGAAAGTGAGAGAACCTCAACCGAAAGCCACTTCTTCCCTCAGAAACCAAAATGGCCCCTTGTGTGTGTTCTACAAGCAGGGCTACGCGTTCGCCTGTGTTCCTTCAGCACTCTGCACACTTAAGGTGTTCATCATCCCACTGCACCTGATGGAGAGGCTTCTGCCGGGCTCCAATCCTGCTCTGGAGCCCACTTCACATCTCTGTGCCTTAGTCTCCTCAGAGGCTAACTGGTGATAACTAATGGCATCCACTTCACAGTGTCTGTTGGAGGATTAAGTGAGATAATACATGAAAAGCACCAAGCACAGTCTGATAACATGGCATGTGCTAAGAACTCAATGCCTATTAGCTGCTATTATATTACTAACCAACATTTTGGGAAAACTTCTTATGTGCCAGGCACTTTGTGCTAAGTGCTTTATGTGCGTTATCCCACTTAACAACTCCATGAAGTAAAAAACAAGGCAGGGAGGAATAATGACTTGCCCAGAGCAAATGGAGTTGCCAGGTCCAAGGACGTATGGATCTTAAAATTCTGACATACTACCAGATTGCTCTTCATAGGGCCATGTCAATGTGCACTCCCAATGGCAACGTGGGACAAATGCCTGTTTCCCATGACCTTGCAAACGCAGTGTGTTAATAAATATTGGGATTTTTGTTCATCTGATTAGGTGAAAAATGCCTTGTTTTATTTTGCATTTCTCTTACCATGAATGAGGTTGAGGGTCTCTTCCTATGTTTCAGAGCTATTTGAATTTACTTTATTGTCTCCTCATTTTTTCTCAGGCTGTTGGTCTTTTTCATATCAGTTTCTAGGAGTTCTTTAAATATTAGGCAAATTATCCCTTAGAGATGAGTTGCAAAGCTTTTTTGTAAAGTATATAGAATTCTGACTTGGCTTATGGTGTTTTAGCCTTAAAGATTTAGAAATTTTTGTTTTACATATAATTTATCAATATTCTGTTCTAATTCCTGGATTTGAGGTCCAAGTTAGAAAGGCCTGCCCCACTTCCAGAAATTTAAAGGGATTGCTCACATTTCCTTCTAGTGTTTTTATGTTGCCTTTTTATATTTAGATCTTTATCCATTTTGAAATATATATCGGGTTATGGCGTAAGCCGTAGAGCCAATCTTACTTTTTCTAGGTTACCTAGTTGTTCCAACACTATTTACTGAAGAGTCCACCTTTTTCTTACTGGGTCTGGGTGCCACATTTACCGTACTAAATTGTCATATATATTTGAGTCTATTTGTATACTTTCTATTCTGCTTTATTGGCCTGTCAATTCATGCACCAAAACGGTACTATTTTAATCATTATAGTTTTATAATGAGTTTTAATATCTGCTAGGATTAAACATCCCATTTATCACTCTCCCCACATCTTCTAGCTATTATTTTTTCCCCACGTAAACTTTGGTTTTTTTTTTTTAAACTGTTTATTTTCTTAGGATGACATATTTTTAACTTAGAACTATTAGTTTTACGTTGACTGCTCCTGTTTAAGAACTTGATGTATCTTTCCATTTGTTCAAGTTTTCTTCTCAGAGGCTCACTGGTGATAATCAGTTTCTTCAAGGGTCCAGAATGTCAAAAACACAAGTCTGGGCCGGTCGAGGTGGCTCATGCCTGTAATCCTAGCACTCCAGGCGGCTCAGGCGGGAGGATCACTTGAGCCCAGGAACTGGAGACCAGCCTGAGCCAGTGTGAGACCCTGTCTCTACAAAAAATAGAAAAATTAGCTGGGTGTGGTGGCACGTGCCTCTAAGTCTTAGCTACCCGGGAGGCTGAAGCAGGAGGATCGCTTGAGCCCAGGAGTTTGAGGTTGCTGTGAGCTATGATGACACCACTGTACTCTAGCGGGGGGCGGGGGGAGAGATAGGGGGGAGACAGAAAAAGACTGTCTCTAAAAAAAAAAAAGAACACAAGTCTGTCAATTCTAACATACCCCACTTAAAAACATCTCAGGGATAACACACCTAGAGCCCTTTAATATCATTAACAGCTCTTGTGTTCTGCAATCCTGTTCACATGCTGCCCCCTTCCCCTTTGGCTATGAGTTCCTGGAGGTCTCTTTAATCTCTCTATAGCCCAGTATCTAGCAAAAATCCTGGCAGACTATGTGTTCAACAAATGTTTGCTGACTGAAGGAACACACACTCCTACTGTTGTCTTCACTCAGGTCCCCTGACTTAAGACTCCATGTATAAGCCCAGCCTAGCTTGGAGACTTACTTAGAATGATTAAACACACAAACATACACAAATGTTTAAATCAAGAGACCCAAAATATTCATTTCCCCTGGAGAAATGACTTGTCCAAAAACTCAAAGAGGAGAAATAAGCATAAACTATGCTCTAAACTATGAAGAATGCAAATGCTTGTATCAACAAATAATTCTATGTAATAGCTAAATTCCACTAAAATCAACTTAGTGTCAAAACCATGTTGGCTCTTTGGATATGACCAAGAGAGGGGCAGCACAACCAGCAGTCCACTACTCTCTGTGGTTTGGAATTTCTTTGGAATAGGTTATCTTGAGAAGTGGATGATTACCTAGGTAGGCAAGAGAACAGGAGCAGAAAAAGGGCAAAAACAAGAGGCAAACAATTCAGAACCTTTTCTTTTCATCTTTTTTTATTTTAAATTACAAAGGATGTTGCATACACTGATGAATCTGTATCTGACTAGAAGTGCTGAGGGGTTGGAAGGTGACAGAAAACAAAGGCAACATGTGCATTGCCTTTCTTCTGAAACGAAAAACTGCACAACTATTAACCAACATTGAATAGAATAATTTTTAAACAGCTCATGCGTCAACAGGATAAAATTCTTTCTAGACAAGAGACAAGACTGAATCCAATAAAAAGTGTCATAGCTCCAGTTAGGAGGGAAAAAAAAACCCAAAACTACAGAATATTTATGATAGCATTACAAACAGGATCCTATGCAGCTATGCAAAAGAGGTTGCCACATCGTATGAACAAATGCTTTAAATTCTTGCCCTTTTGCTCTTCTCCTGTGACTTCTTCTGTGCTGTCAGCCCCAGCATCACTGTTAACCACAAATGCTAAGCTATAGGACAAATCCTAGGGAAAGAAGGCAAAAAAGCAGGCAGTGGAATACAGTGTCATAAAAATGTGGTGGAAAGGCAGATACAGTACACACACACACAATTCTGTTATTTGGTTCTGAAAAAAACAAAGGGCGAAGGGCAAGACACAGTAATCAGTCCCGCTCCTATCCACCCAGAATTTGATTAACTACACCATTGTGTTTACATCATTATGAAAGAGGCAAACCTAGTTAACCCGAACTTGGCACACCGAAATACCCAACTCTGATATTCTTCATTAGTCACCAAGTCTTCAATTCCAAAATACTATTTGGAAGTAGTTTTAAGGTTCTATCCCCTCACTACTACTTCCAAACCTCTCTTTTCTAAACAAAAATGGAAATTTGGCATAGTTCAGTTCCTAGGTGTAATGTCTACAATTTCAGTCAGTTTGCTGAGCATGAGGACTATGCTTCAACACATAATCCCACGTGCCTATGGAAGTGTATAACTTTCAGTAGTACATTTTCATCATCTTTCCCAACATGCTTATTCCTTAAAACGAAACAACCATTCCTACAGTTGACATTCATTGTTACATCCCAATGTGTTTGAAATATTAAAAAAACATGGAGTCATCTTCTCATAATGCCCTTATTAAGATTACAAAGATTACAAAAGAATCCACAAGTATTACGGCACTGTGTGAGACTTATTTGTCATGATCCGAGGGAAGAACAAGACTGCAGTTCTGTGCAAAGTGTTGTGGAAATGGCCTCAGTTCCATGGGAAATGGTATTCCACAATAGACTTCACTAGAAGGATAATTGAAACCTTTTACTTTAACACTGAAAGCATAATTCAATGCATTCTCAAAATTCAAGTTTCAAGATTTGGAGAGATGCTAACATTCTGTTACATAATTAACTAGAAAATACTTGAACAGAATTTTAGGAAGACTATATAAAGAAAGGGAACATAAGTTTTTGTTAATTTCTGCTGAAGGCAACTTGAATTCATTTCTTAGAACATTAACTAAATCTTAGCAGCTAAAAATTTTTTAATGTATGGAATAAAGAAAAGCACATCCATTCTTGACATTTTGGTGAATAAACTAACAGCTTTATTAATGAAGGCAAACATCAGATCATTTTATGAATATTATATATAAAAAAAGAAATCCAAACTAACAGCATTGTATTTCAAAAGTACTGTACTTCTGTTTCTTTTAAAGAGACTTGTCTTCTGTTTTATAAAACAAAATGGGTACTCTTCTCCTAAAAAATTCTGGAAAAATGAAATAGTCAATTTCAAGCTAATGAACTGAACACATCTTTCTTTAAATGCAGACTATTGCTAGGAAGCAAATAAAGTCAAGCATCAGAAAGAAGATGTATGACAAATTCATGAAAGTCAGAGAAAAGGGATGTAGTGAAATTACTGCTAATCTTTCCCCCTCATATTCAAAGACCATTCAAAAACTGGTCTTTCGTACAAATATAAAATAACTATAAAGAGAGGGAATTTACAACAATACCCATCTGAAATCCTTCATGATGCTTTTGTTATAGTTCTGATTCTCTTACCAAAAAGGTCAAAGTTAAAGATTTAGGAAGTGGACGGGAATGAAGACGTTTAGTTTTAAATGTACAAGTAAGGCACAATATAAAGCCACATCATAATCTGTCATGAAGGATATAGGAAAGGACAAGAATCATACATGGTACAGCAGAACGAGCAATCGTATTGACTGAAAAAGTGTGGCACCTGATTCAAAACTCAGACAGGATCTTTACAAGAGCCAACTGGACAGCATGCTTTCATGTGGAGACAAACTCTATGAAGAATCCAGTGTATCTGAAACTACAAAGAAAGTTTTTGTTTTTTGTTTTTAAATCATAGTAGTACTAGAGTCAAAGTCTATAATTGCTTTTGGAACAATGGGTTTCTTTGAGGTGAATTCACAACGCCTTTACTTAAAGTAAGAGTCTGGACTTCATTATGAGTTATCTGTATACCATGTATGAACACAGAAAACCTTTAGAGAGCTCTTCTCTAATGATCTTCACCCAAAAATACATGCCACAATTTTCAAAAACAGAACATGTACAATTGTTGGGGTTTTTACATTACCCTTGTAAGATTTGTTTGTGTGATACACTAAACGTATATATTTTAATGACAATAGAGGAAGCAGATTATTACTGGCATTAAAGTACAACCATTTCTAGACGGTTTTAAATGCCACAGAGTCCCCTGGTTAAAATGTAAAGCTGCACAGCTTGCCTATGTCATCTTTATGGTAAAGTTAAAACAGCAAGAGGATTTAACTTTCACTCTACATTTTACTGCCAGGTTTTTATTTAGATCAAGTATCGCTGCAGCATTCTGACCAGCCCAGATTTAGCAGCAAATGGCAGGAATCATATAAAATGCAATTTTTTTTAACAAAGTGCTTTTTCTAAGATATACATACATATATAAATAGGTACAAAATAAAGTGTCAACATTAAAAAGCTCAACTATTTAAAAGCTTTTAACTATTTAACTTAAGTAGTACATATAAAACACTGAAACGCAAGGATATGGAATCTACCAAACAGATTCAAAGTCTTTTTTTTGAAATGCAAGACCAAAAAATCAAATTCTGGTTTGCAGACAGGAGAAAAGTATCAAAAAACCAGAATTCCTAACAGAGCAGCTAGAAAGGGGCAATTTTATAAACCTCATCAGCTGAATCTCTATCATGAGGTGATTTTCACCTGATTGCAAAACTGCCATATTTTGGAACACTTTTCAATTTACCAGACATACTCTGTTAAGACTTCATATACTTCGCAGTTACAAATCTGTGCTTTGCCTTCTCCCACCTAAAAAGGAAAAACTTAAAACAATGAACTTATATTCTATTAAACCGTTACATTTGAGCTTATCATCTGTTTAGCGTGAATGCACTAACCAGGTACATTTCCACCAAACACAGAAAAATCTTATGCATCACAGTTCAGCTAAGGTGTTAAGACAATCCTTCTCAGTTTCTTTTTCATGATGTCAAAGAAGCACACAAGCAACATTGTTCAGTTGTTACTGTGTGTTCTAGAATCGAACCTTTATAAGCTATGGCTTTCATGTGCTATAGCTTACAAAAGGAGGGGGGAGAAGGAGAGAAAGTAATAGAAAAGGAAATATATTTTATAAACAAAGTATAATTAAAGAATAAATTCTACAGAGGGTAATGGAGAAATAGATAATTTTCCCAGCAGCTAAATCGGAAATTTTTGGTATTCTTTTCTTGCTAGATAGATACGTTTTTTTCTTTTTTTAAGCTTTTAAGCCACCAGTTTCCAGAGTTCAAAACACAAGATTTGAGAATAAAACAGAAAGAGAAACAGGATGGAAAGATCTGTGGGAAAGGTTTATAATGCTGCCTTGACATAAGAAATTTCTCATCAAGAGGTAAAGCTTGAACGCAGTTAAAACACTGACTAATGAAGCTGTTTCGTATGAGCAAAAAAGAGCACCTAAAAACTAAATGTGTTAATGTTTCTCAATTCTAGAAACTATAGAAGAATAAGTCACATGTAAGTTTGAAGAAGCTAGTTTGAAAATACCTGTACAAAAATATAAAAATCTATAAACTTTTTATGTTTTCGTTTTAAGCTTGTGTTGATCTTTGAAAATATTACATGCACAATAATACATCAACTGGAAAAGTGGCAACTAAAGAATTAGATATTCTTAGCTTTTTTCTTTCTTTACATATATATACATAATACAATAAAAATAATCTATTTTGGTTGTTTGGTGGAAGTATACTACAATAAGCTAAATAAACTTTTTAATTTTCAAAGTCAAAAACTATTTTACCAATAGCTTACTAAAATGAAATATATTAAAATTTCCTACAATAAGGGCAGAAATAAAAGACAGACACCTAAATGGCCACCAACTTATCTACTATGGAAGCGAACTAGAGGAACAGCAAAATAATATTTGTATGTATGGATGCTCCTTCTGTAGATAATTGGACCCAAACAGAAATAAAATTCACAGTTCAGTAAGATCCCTAACCCTGACCTTTTAATTTTTTTTCTCCTTTTTTTTCATACATTCATACAGTATCATGTAAGCTGTGCAAAACTTTACTTAGACTGGCAGTTTGCCATATCAGTTGCATTTGTCTTTGGTACAAAAAATAAAACAATCGCAATAATGTGCAAGTATTTGTCTTCTTCCGGTCAAGTACCGAAATATGAGTTTTCTAGAGCCATCTTTTTTTTGTTTGTTTTTTTGTTTTGTTTTTTATACAATACACAGACTCTGTGGCATATATCTACATTTCAACATAGTCCTATATACATTCAAAAAATTTGAAAAAGAGTTGGAACAAAAAAACATTTAAACCCCATAATTTTTCCATCTATATATCTTGTTTTTCCTCATTAGGGTTTTCATCATACAAAATATTACCAGTTTTATAGTTTCCCCAAAATACAAGGCACAAAGAATATGCTTTTTTTTCTTACTCGCACAGACATTTATATATATATATTTATATATATATTTATATATATCATATTGAGCTCTGACAATGAACATCTAATATGGCACACAGGCACGAATGCTGGGTGTGCCACATACAAGTGAGATTAATGGGTGTGAAAAATTAGAACAGAAAGCAGTAATTCTAAAAACAATCTAAATTGACTGTTTAAAAAAATGCTTTCTCAATTTTTTTGTGTGGTTCAGAGCATAAACCTGCCACAATACTTGGCATTTTACTATTTCACTCCTTCAAAATGTTTTGCTTTAACAGATTTTTGCAATCTGTACCTGAACATTTACTTAAATGTATGAGCTGCAATTCTGATGCCACTAGCAGTTTTAACCATGGTTTATGCTCTGAAAATGCAATAATCAAGTATTTTGGATCATGCTTCACTTATGCTACTTAGTTCTTAAAACAATGTAACCTAATTGTAAATGTTTACATAATGCTAACTGACATGCAAAACAGAATGAAAATTTACAATGGATAATGTGACAAATGCAGACATTTCTGACCAGTGGTCCCATGAAGCTGATTACACTTTTGATGTTGGTATCCTTAGTCCTACAAGGCCTCCAGTGGGATTGCCTTCTGCAGTCTTCTCTAACACCTGGTTAACAAATTCTGAGGTTTGCCCAGCAACTGGGAGACCTGAAGAGAAAAATAAAAGGCACACTTAGACACAAAAACGGAAAGCCATTAAGCAAAGAGAAGGCATAGGAAACATGTGAAGGTCAGGTGTGGCCCTCAGCTTGATACTGGTCCCAAATGAGTGCTCTGCTACTTGCTACTGCAGCCCAGAAAATAATTCTACCCATCAGATTAGAGTCTACAATTTTAAGATTAGAAGAGTGAAACCAAGAATAACCATAAAAAATGGTTAATCAAAATATTTAACGTGGGGCAGATGAGAAATAATAGCAGTCTAAACCCCAACTCAAAGCCTGTGGAACATGTTTTTTCCCTGTTTTCTCTGCCAGTCTCTTTCACCTGCTCAAATCTCACCATGTTCCATGGGTGGGTTTCACCCACGCAACTGAAAATGTAGATCTGAAGGATGTTTTTAGTCTTTCTTTAATAATTACTGAAGTTTATGTTCCTTTTTCTACACTTTAAAGAAAAATGAATGAATAAGAAATGTTGGAAGAGAAGAGGGAGAAAATGTGGGAGCAGCATAAGTATGCTGATTTTCTCATCTTCGTCATCTCCCACAGTGAGGTCAAAAGATACTTAAAATCGGCTGGGCGTGGTGGCTCACGCCTGTAATCCTAGCACTCTGGGAGGCCGAGGCGGGCGGATTGTTTGAGCTCA